GATTTGTATATTTGGGTGCTTCCAACCTTTGGCACATAAGTGTTTACAATTGTTAGGTCTTCTTGGTGGATAGACCCCTTGATTATGATATAATGCGCTTCTGCATCTCTTGATACAGTATTTATTTTAAAGTCTAGATTGTCTGATAGAAGTATGGCTACTCTATCTTTCTTTTGTGGACAATTATCCTGATAGATGGTTCTACATCCCCTTATTTTCAATCCGTAGGTGTCTTTAGGTCTAAAGTGGGTCTTTTGTAAACAGCATATAGATGGGTCTTGTTTTCTTATCTATTCTGTTACCCTATGTCTTTTGATTGGAGCATTGAGACCATTGACATTTAGAGTGAGTACTGAAAGATATGGATTTATTGCCTTTATGATGCTTGTGGGTTTGGAGTTTCCGGTGGTTTTCTCTGGTCCTTTTTAATCTTTGTTGCTCTTGGTCTTTATTTATTCATTTTTTTTTTTTTTATATTTTCATCTTTCTCCCCTCAGAGAGTCCCCCTTAAAGTTTCTTGCAGGGCTGGTTTAGTGGTCACAAACTCCTTTAATTTTTGTTTGTCTGGGAAACTTTTTATCTCTCTTTCTCTTTTGAATGACAGCCTTGCTGGATAAAGAATTCTTGGCTACATATTTTTCTGATTCAGCACATTGAATATATCCTGCAACTCCTTCCTGGCCTGCCAAGTTTCTGTGGATAGGTCTGCTATAAACCTGATCTGTCTTGCCTTGTAGGTTAAGGACTTTTTCCCCCTTGTTGCTTTTACGATTCTCTCCTTGCCTGAGTATTTTGTGAATTTGACTATGATATGCCTTGTTGATGGTCGGTTTTTGTTGAGTCTCATGGGGGTCCTCTGTGCTTCCTGGATTTTGATGTCTGTGTCTTTCCTCAGGTTAGGAAAGTTTTCTGCTATGATTTGCTCACATAACCCTTCTACCCTTATTTGTCTCTCTTCCTCTTCTGGGACCCCTATGATTCTGATGTTGTTCCTCTTGAATGAGTCACTGATTTCTCTAATTCTTAAATTGTGCTCTTTTGCCTTAATCTCCCTCTTTTTTTCTGCTTCATTATTCTCTATAAGTTCATCCTCTATATTGCTGATTCTCTGTTCTGCCTCATCCATCCTTGCTGCTGCTGCATCCACCCATAATTGCAGCTCAGTTATAGCATTTTTAATTTCATTCTGGCTATTTTTTATTTCTTTTATCTCTGCAGAAAGGGATTCTAATCTATTTTCAACTCCAGCTAGTATTCTTATTTTTGTTATTCTAAATTCTGGTTCAGACATCTTGCATGTAACTGTGTTGGTTAAATCCCTGGCTCTTGTTTCTTTGTGCTCTTCCTTTTGGGGTGAATTCCTTCGTTTTGTCATTTTGAAGGGAGAAAAGGAATTAATGAGGTAGAAAAAATAAAGTTAAAAAAATTAAAATAAAAAATATTAAAATTAAAAAATTAAAACACATACACACAAATCTAATAAATGATGCTAGATCCTAGGTGTGTTTTGGTCTGCATGTTGAGAATGGCTTGACAGAGTAGAGGAAAAAAAGGCGGGGGGGAATGAAATCATTTGAGAATTTGAAAAAATGAATACACTGAATTAGACTAAAATGAGATGATGGGAGTAAAATAGAATTTGAAAAAAAAATTACACAAAAGTAAAGAATATAGTAGAAAAAAATTAAAGAAAAATGTTTTTAATAAAAATTAAAAATAAAAATGTATTTTTCTCATTCTGTATTCAAGAAAGAGAAAAGTTGTGTAAAAGGGAAAAAAAAAGATAGAAAATTGAATAGATGAACCTGCTAAGAGATTGAAATACAACTGAAATTACTGTTTTCTCCTAGAAGTCAGACTATGTAGTGCTTTATAGTTCATAAACGAAGTAGGCGGTGAGACTTGTGCTCTTCAAGAGTGAGGTTGGCTCAGTTGGGCGGGGCTCAGTGTAACGGCTGTTCTCCAGTAGATGGTGCTGATAGCCTACTGGGGTGGATTGTTGCGGCACTTGTAGGTGCATATGCACATACCTGGGAGTGTTGAAAATGGTGTCACCCAGGTACCCTGTCTCTAGTATCGGAACTCAGTTCTCCTGGATCAGCAATCGCTCACTGTCTTCTGTCTTCAGCTTTCGTCCACTCCACTTCTTCACTGTCCATGACCAAGCCCCAGGCAGCACCTCTTTCCACAGTTTTGTCTCAGATGTGGCTGCTTTCCCTGGCCCCTTACTTCTGAGGGACTGTGGCTTTGACCTGTTCTTCAGGGTCTCACTGAGCAATGGCTGAATGAGCAAGGGCTAAATGTCGGCTACACCCGGGAATGCTTGCTGGACCCTGCTGCTGCTGGTGCCCAAGACTGCAGCCAGGTGCCAGGCCACCCCAGAAAAAGTTCACAAGATAGCATACTAGCCGCTTTTCAGGGATTATGGAAAAATCACAACACACATCTGGCACCAGTCTTCACCTTTAACCACCTTGTTCCAGCACCAGTGAATATGGCCATTTTCTGGGGTCTGCTGGGACCAAGTGGCTTCAACAGTCTCCACCAAATGTCCTTCCAGCAGTGGAACTGCTTTTCCCCGTGTGGCCTGAGAACCTCCTGGACACCACTCTGCTCCTGGGGTTCCACCCTTCTCACCAGAGCACCACCAGGTATCGAGCTGCAGGGTTTCAGACACTGCCTGCCCCCTGTTTAAAGTCTGCATGGAATTTAAACCCTCTCCTTTCTCCTTTCTCCCTTTTTAGTTTAGTCCCTGTGGCTGTTTCCAATTTTCTGCTTTCTCTCCAGCTGCTTTTGGGAGGGGTGCTTTTCCTGTATTCTGCCCCCTTCCCCTAGTCTCCGTCCTCTCTCTGCCTGCAAAAGCGGCTCCCTGCCCGCCGCCAGCTTCTCACTCCCCAAGTTCACCTCTCCCTGCCACATACCTGCTGAATTCTGTGGTTCAGGTTGTGCAGATTGTTATATTAATCTTCCAATCAGTTTTCTAGGTGTGTAGGATGGTTTAGTGTTGGTCTGGCTTTATTTCATGGATGCAAGACACACAAAAAACTTCCATGCTGTTCTGCCATCTTGGCTCCTCTTGACATCACACTTATATCTCCATTGTTCAACTTGTTTTTGTTGGTGGTCATGTTCATGACATGGGTTAAGAATTTTAAATAGTACATCAATGTAAATTTAGGTTTTCAAACAATTTACCAGTTGAAACAATTATTTAATAGGCTGTTCTTTCTCAGCCAGTTTTGATACACAAAATCTTATGCAATAGGCTTTGTACTTTATACTCAAAAAGTCCAATGGTTATCTGAAACTCCAACTTCCCACTTACAGGTCAATTAAAGTTTTTGAGTTTAAGAAATATGCTTTCTGTGGCATCATGTAATCTGTCAGTAACTTTTCTGTCTATTTGAAATTGAGATTCTCCCACACAATTCCCTTATCATCTGTTTTCAAGGGGAAGTCAATAATCCAGACAACACTGAGGGACTGGATGTGAGAACTGGATGGGCCCCTGGTCTATGTCTGTGTACTTAGCTGAGCCTTTTTGAATGAACCTTATCCTACCTCTTCACTCTGTGTAGGCCTCTATCCTTTCCGCAGCCTTTCCTGAAATTTGATTATTGTCTCTTGGATCCCACTTAACGAGGCATCTGAAATGTTGGATCTAATCAACAAGCCTTGAAACCTGACCCATTTTCTCTTACTTTGCTGACTCTAACATTTGTGTCTATGGCTCTTGGCTACGGAGTCACTTTTCCCTTAGCCAAAGCCTCTCCCTTTTCAACTTCATGAGTCAGCATTCACCATGATCTTTGTGTTCCCCACAGTGCCATAAAGTACTCCTACATTCATCTGTTGCTCCTGTGGAATGAGAGGAAACCAGTTCACTGACTGAACATGCCACATGGTCATTTTTACTCTAATGCTGTTCTCCCATGTGGCATGAGACAATTTGTTCAGAAATCTCCCTCAGATACTTAAGTAGGAAATAAGGTATTCCTCTTCCACTGCTTTTCACTTTCATCTCTAAATTCATTGGGTTTCTATCTTTTTATTTTGTATGCCCTGATACTTTGAATGAATACCGAGAATGTGCAGCTGAAACTTGGACTGTATCTTCCTTTTTCTCCATTCCTATCTGTGTCTCTCCCCCATCTCATGCTGGAAGGGGTTCTGCTACTCTTTTTTTGTTTCTAAAAGGAACTTCCTCTGCAGTCAAACCTCCTTCTTCCTTACCATGTTCTACTGGTACTTTTTAACAGAAGCATTTAATGACAGTAGACTCTAGTGGAAGAAAATAAAAATCTATAGTTTTCAAACGGAATTTTTGTGGTATTTCATATATATATATATATATATATATATATATATATATACATATGGGATATATTTCAATGTGTGTTATGCACAGTTTAGAAGCTTTGTAAACCATCTTATTTAATACTTTCAACAACCTTATAAAATATGAAATATTTTAAGCTCAATATAAAGCTAAAGAAGCCCAGAAAGGGTAAATACTCTTTACAAAGATGAGACATCTAAAATTCAAATCTTGAATTTAGAGCCCAACTACTCAACTGATAGATCACAATGCTAAATATATAAGTATTATTTTCTCTGAAATACAAAGATAATATGGGAAAATAGGCTGAAAACCTGTTAAGTTGATTTAGCAATTTGTTTTTTCTATTTTTTTAGTGGGTGGGTTGTGTTTTTACTTTTCCTGTTTTTCTGTATCAATATGAAATTGAAGATAACTATTGAGTTATTGTGTTTTAAGTCTGTTGTAACTGAACTCACATTTACACAGAATCTAAAATGCCCTTGGTCTGATACTGTCCTGAACAAAAGCAGCAATTAATTAATTAATTAATTATGATGTAAAATTATCTCAAAAATTTACTGTTATCATTCTACCCTAATGCTGGCATGATATAAGATGCCTGATATAATTTTAAGTACTCTTCAATTAGTTACATAGAAAAATGAAAAATTGAGCTGGATAGTCTACATCAGCAGAATTTATTGCTCACAGAAAAGACATGGACAAACTTCTCCTGAACTTTCTTGGTCTTAACTCCATAAATGATGGGGTTGAGAGTGGGTGGTACCACCACATAAAGATTGGCAAAGAGGATATGTACGTGGAGTGGTATATGGTGGCCCCCAAATCGGTGAGCAAAGAATGAAAAAAAGGCTGGAGTATAGAACAGCAGGATAACACAGACATGGGAGCCACAAGTACCCAGAGTCTTGAGTCGGGCATCTTGGGAAGGAATTCTAAAAACAGTACAGAGTATAAGGGCATAGGAGACGATAATAAACACTACATCCAGGCATGTAGAAAATAGGGCTACAATCACCCCATAGTAGATGTTGATTTTGATGCTATCACAGGCTAGCTTGGCAATGCCCATATGTTCACAATATGAGTGATGAATAATATTCCTCCCACAGTAAGCAAGCCGATAAACCAGAAAAACCAAGGGGAAGCAGATGAAGAAACTCCTGATCACAGATGCAATGCCCATTTTTCCAATGACTGAGGGGGTTAGAATTGTAGTATATCTTAGTGGATGGCAGATGGCTACATAGCGGTCAAATGCCATGGCCAGCAATATGGCAGACTCTGCCACAAAGATGAAGTGGAGAAAAAACATTTGGGACACACAGCAACCAAAAGAAATACCCCCATCTTGGAACCAGAAGATTGCTAGCATCTTTGGTGTGGTGACTGTGGAGAGAAAGATATCTGCCAGGGCTAACATGGACAAGAAAAGGTACATGGGTTCATGAAGACTGCGTTCAGTGAAGATCAGGAATAATAAGATGGTGTTGCCTAAAACAGAAACTATGTACATGAAACAGATGGGAATGGAGATCCATATGTGTGCATATTCCAGTCCTGGGATCCCAGTCATGGTATACCAAATATCTCTAAGGTTGGTGTGGTTTGAAGAGATCGTCATCTTTTACTCTGTCCTCTGACACTGGACACTGGAATGGAGTGAAAAATCATAGTTATTTCATCTGGTTTCAGTATGAATCTTGGCATTGCAATACAGTTGTTGCTTTAAGAAAGGATTGATAGTAAGTAATGGTTCAAAGATGACAAGCCAGATAGGCTTCATTGACATGAAAGTTACCATGATCTTATAGAACTAATGCTACTGGTAATGCTAATGGTTTTAACTATAACTATAAGAACAACAACAACAGTAATGATAATAAGCATTTTATAGGTTTGTAATTTTGTCTAGACACTGTGGCAGATACATTGTACTTATTGACTTAGCATCATACATGAAAGTCTCTTATATGCTCTTGCACATCATGGTTTTCCTTCTTATATGACTGGTCATTTCCAGTGTTAATCACAGTTTCTTTCTGGTGATTAATTGAACACTCCAGTAACAAAGTGTCCAGAATATTGGTATGACCTTTTGAGAATTCAAATCTGTAACGACCATTGTTTCTGTAATTTAAAGACTTTAGCTTTTCATCACCAAGTGAAAATAACTTGGAGAGAAAGAGAAATAGAAGTCTAGGGAGTCCTTGCTTTGCATAGTGCTGTATTAATACTGTGCATATTGAAAACATGTTCTTCCAACATCCACAGTATTAATACAGCACTGTGCAAAGCAAGGACTCATATAACATCATTATAACTCAGCAGACCATGTGTCCTATCTTCCACATATGTTACATTCCTCCTTTCATTCTCCCTAGTCTCCACTGCCTTTTTCTCCAATTTATTCCTTCCAGCTTGTGTTCAAATATTTGTCTTTTCCTTCCCTTCTTTTTTTTCTTTTTCTGCTCAAACTTGCATACCATTACTGGAGAAAAGAGAAAGGCATCTCATAGGTAATGAAATAACCACAATAATAAAAAATGAGTTGCAGACACATGCAAGATTTAAATAAGTTAATGAATATTTCTTTAAGTTCATTCTGTGATTAATACTATGCTAAAGAAGGAATTAAATATAAACTATACATATCCTCTATTTCAAGGATCTCCTACCCTTGTGAGGATCATGGGACATAGACACAAGTAAGCATCCTCTCAAAGCAGATCAAGATAAGAATGATGGGAGACATGCAGTCACGTGTGTATAATGTGAAAGAGACATTACTTTAACTAGGGGATGATACAAAGATTCATTGAAGTGTTGTCAGTAGATGTGTTTATCAGAAAGCCTTTGGCTTTCAAGAGACTATCATTGGAAAAAAAGAACCAAGACAAGTAAAAACCTAAAACAAGGACTGTAAGTCACTATAAAAATCAAATTATGTAGTGTATCAAAGGCTTAGAGACATGAGAAATATGACCGGACAAATAAATTGTGTCTTGAAGATTCAAAGTTTTAAAAGTCAAGCTAAAGACTTTAGGTTTAGGTCTCTTATACTGAGAATTGATTTCTTATTCAACAATACTTACTGAATCTCTAATATTTTACCACAGTTTTAAGGAGAACATAATGGGATCAAAATTTAAGATTTACCCTTTCAGAGAGGTCTTTGCTGATGGACAATATGCTTATTTTTTATTCTCTACTTCCCAATAGCACACCGATACAATTCCTAATGAATAGTTTGTAATATTTTTCACCAATCTTTCTTAAGTTTCATGATGGCTATGAGTATATATTCAACATCTAACATAATATATTTTTGTTGAGTAAATATGGTTTAAAAGGCAGAAAGATAGATTGATGAGGTGGAGGATTTACCTGATTTACTGTAGGAAGCTTTTCCAACAAACCAAAGTAGAACTCGGAACATAGTTTAAACAGTGAAAAAAGGGGATGGAGAAGAAGTGTGGGGCTTTTAAATGTTTATTTGTTTATTTTGAGAAAGAGAAAGTGAGTAAGAGCAGGAGAGATACAGAGAGAGAGAGAGAGAGAGAGAGAGAGAGAGAGAGAGAGAATCCCAAGCAGGCTTCATGCCGTTAGCACAGAGCCCAACTTAGGGTTCCATTCCACGAACTGTGAGATCATGACCTGAGCCGAAATCAAGAGTCAGACTCTCAAACAACTGAGTGACCTGGTCACAAAAGGTGACCCAGGCACCTTGAAAAAATGTGTTTAAAAATAAATAAATGAAAGATAATTCCAAGTGATAGGTTTTATGAGGCAAAATGAAAGGCAATAGGACATTTTGAGACACACTGTCTAGAAAAATGTGATGCCACTAATCAACATAAGGAATAGAGGAGGAGATTTCTTTTTCAGAGAAAGTTAAAACAATTGTTTTAAATTATATTAGTTTATGGCATGTCTATGGAACCACTAAGGAAATAAATCTGGCAGACTATCTCAAACCTGTATAGTGCAAGGGAAAGAAAAGTGGATGAAGCATGAGGTTCTAGCCTGAACTGAACTGTAGTCTCAGCTATGCCATGAACCAACTGGGACCTTGGTAGAAGCATTTCATCACTCCAAATTCTCTGTCCATAAAGGTTGGAATGGAACTAGCTCATAGCTACTTCTCTTCTAGATACAAAAGACTAACATCCAATCATGGACCTGGACCTCAAAGCAAAAATACATACATATCAAGCTGTATATTTCAGTTTAGTTTACTATAAGTTATTCTATTAGTTTTAAAAAAGAAAGACCTAAGAAGAGAAGTTCTGGTATTAAATCTCTTCCCTAACTGTATCTCCAACATGTAGTTTATTTAATCACAGTGACAGCCCTCAAATAACACATTTTAGTCCCCACATTATTTATACTATTCAACTAATTTTGAGTATTTACCATGAGTTATATCCTGTGTTAACCACTTATCTATAATTTAATGGTCACAAAATACCATTCAATTGCAATAAGAACCCAACAGAATGACAGCTAGTATGGTCCACTTCACACTTTAGGACACTATGGCATGAGTGGTTTGAATAATTTGTCTAAGCTACTATCTAACCAATTAGAGATTCAAACTCAAATTCTCTTGCTTAAAAAACCCATGTTTTTAACACATTGTTTCATTTGCCACTAGTGAGCAATCCCTTCTTCAAGCTTTCTTCTCATTCATTTGCCTTGATTTCATTACAGTCCTGTTTACCTACTACAATTTTCACAGTTCTGAGTCATTTTTTCAATGCTATTTTTTTTTATTATTTCCAGTTTGGTGGTGGTGGTGGTGATGATGATCATGATCATGATTTATTGCCACTTCCCAGTTGTCGTGTTGAGAGTAGGATGTAGAATAAAAGTACTAGACTTTGGGACACCTAGGTGGCTCAGTTGATTGAGTGCCCAACTTCGGCTCAGGTCATGATCTCGTGGTTCGTGAGTTTGAGCCCCACATCAGGCTCACTGCTTTCAGCCTGTCAGTGTACAGCCTGCTTCGGATCCTCTGTCCCCTCTCTCTGCCCCTACCTCACTTACTTTCTCTTAAAAATAATAAAAATAAACATTAAAAAATGTTAGACCTTCACTAGCATCTAGTGAAAAATATTAGACTTTCATTAGTGTCTAGTACAATTTCAAGGAATTGATGAGGGTGAAGTCTGATTCCAGATTGAAAGACACTGGGTATAAAATAGCTGAGAATACCAGTTATGAACAACTGTTAAGAAGGTAGGCACTAAAGGAAAGGAAAACAGTAACTGGAAGGAGCAAAAGGTATTGGGAAATGTTCTCTGGAACATAAGAAATGAAAATGGCAGTTTATGTCAGAGGAGTTTGGTAGTAAAGAAGAATTTGAAGCAAGAAAGTGAACAATTTTGGGGATTAAGTCCCCATGATTACAAAAGATAATTCAATCAGTTATTATATAGGTGTTCTGCTTCTTCCACTGAGGCAAAAAGTAGTCAGAAAAATATTAAGGGATATATGGAAGATTTTCAAAAGACTCACATTTGATCCAGATTTTTGCAATAAAATAAAAAGCAATAATTATTCGAGTTAATGCCAAAGCTCATGTGGGAAAAAAGGAGAAATCTGGAAGAGATACTATTTAAAAAAGATGTGGAGAATAGAAAATAAGAATGAAAAAACAATTGCCCAACAGTGGTGAAGGCTAGTGAGGTGAGAATAAAGAAAGATTTTATAGTAGAATTAAGGGTCTCCTGGCAGAAGAAGCCATACAGGAACAGAGGCTCAACTGATTTTTCACCAGGAAAGTTCAAATTTCATGATCAAGAATACTCAAACAGAGGCATGGGATCAAATGACAGGAATGGCAAAGTTGTCCAGCAGTGGAAGGAAATGATGACTGAAAGAACAAGTTGTTCACAAAGACTGGTGACATGCCAAGGAACCAAGAAAGATCAGGTTTGGTCAGAGGGAATTGTTGCCTGCTTCATCTGATGCTAGTCAACCTTCCAACTCTTTCCTCTCTGAACCCAGGTCTGCAGTGACCTTCCCCATTCATATCTTCTTCTCTTGTTCCCATTCTATCACTTTTCTTTCAGAAGTACTGAGGATACAACATTTTTTAAAGTTTATTTATTTATCTTAGAGATAGAGAGATAGACAGAGCATGCAAGCAGGGGAGAGGTGAAGAGAGAGATGAGAGAGAGAATCCCAAGCAGGCTCTGCAATGTCAGCGTGGAGCCTGATTCAGGCCTTAGATCATGACCTGAGCTGAAACCAAGAGTCAGGTCCTTAACTAACTGAGTCACCCAGGCACCTCTAGGATACCACATTTTAAATGAATGTGTACTAATAGATTAAAATCAATCCCATAAATACACAGAAATGTGCTGATTTTGAAAACCAGCTTAGATACCAACTCAACCACAGTTCATAAGATAAGCAGAGATGGCATGGCCCTCATAGTCTTTGGCTGAGGCTTCCTTTATCACTTTCAGCCATTCAGTTATGTTCCAAGAATCATCCGGAAACCCAGTATCTTCTATTATAACTCACATAATTTCCCTTTCTAATACTCACTGCTTACCTCACTCAAAGCTAACATACTGCTGTCGCTGAAGGAACATACCCACAAACGACGGCAGGAGAGGCCACAGTGAGCCAACTGATCTGAGAAACTTGTAACCCTTTTCTCAGAGCTAGCCAGAACTTTATCAGACGCATGCAGTCCAATGGGGCTCATGGGTTTGTTATTTACCAAGAAGGATGGTTCTCGTAAATGTTCTCCTTTTTTTCCATTCCTTCTTCCAAACCATCTATATCTTTCTCATACACTTGACTTCTGATTTATGTCATATTTTAGCATTTCCATTTTATTTACCACCTTAATTCTTCTTTACCCCAAATATATAGATAAGCCTCCCCACCCACACAAAAATATCAATAAAACCCAGTAAGCAAAAGCTGCCATCAGAGACCCTTCTGAGCTAGAGCTCTTACTGTCCTGTGAAACTGGCTTCCACACCCACTACAGCTAGACTTGTGTCTCAACTCCTTTTCTGTTTTGGATGAAATGAGACAAACTCCTTCTGCACTAAATTGTTCCAAAAGAGTTTTAACCAGAAATCTGAAAGTAAATAAAGAACCAAAACAGAAGCCTTTGGTATAGAACCTAAAAACATCTAGGGATCTCTCTTATAAAGGAATCTTATCTGTGACTGACTACAGCTGGGGCAACAAAGCCCCAAGCCTTTTTCTTCTGTTGGAAGAAACCCATTTTGGAATGGGTTTTGGAATTAACCCAACTTTCATATTCTGAAATAATTCTTCCTCACACAGATTGGCTGTTTCAAGAGCCATAAACCACCCTTCAATGAACTCTTCATTAGCTTGAAGAGCATGGTCCAGCCAGGTAGTCAGATATTCATATCAATGACAAGTATAATTTCACAGGTATTGGACATGCCTCCATCACTACCATAGATCTTCTTAGGCCATGATCCTGGGGCAGGTGCTCTATATGGGCATATATGGCAAGAAAAAAGTCGCATATCCTTTTCTCTACCAGGAGTATGCCTAATCTAAAACCTGAGATTCACAGGACATGCCTTCAGAACACAGCAGTCACTTACTGTCCAATATGGGATATCAGAAGCTTACTACCTCCTTTGTTCAGCAATTGCAGACTTCCAAGGCCCTGCAAGATAGGCTGGATGTTCTTGGTCAAGGTCCCAACCTCCGAACACTGAGGTTCGGAACCTGGTTCTATAGCTTTCTCTATCCTGGGAGACCTAAAACCCAGGAGACATGGGGAATCTAATAAAGCATCTGTGGTTTTCTGAGCTCTTTATCCTTTAGTAAGGCTAAGAAAGAACCAATGATGGAATAAGTAGCCTTATAGGAAGAGCATCCTTCTTAGACAATCTTGGGGAGTTAATGATGGCTCTATCAGGGGCAGTAGTCCACAGTGAGACTGCCTTCATAGACATGAAGAAGTTATAGAAATACAGAAGTTGTTGAGGTTTCAACTTGTCAAATGCATGAATTTCTGTGAAAGTGTGATTGTCAGAGCAGAGGGTCTATTTTTTAGTGTCATGAGAATGTGTTCCTTAGGAATCTTCCACCTCCTGAAAAATAGCATAAGATCCATATGGGGGGGATTGAGCAATTTATCATGAAATATCTTGAAAACCATTTTTGTCCTGTATTACATCTGTATCAAACACAAGTATATAAATCAATATAAAACCTGCAACCCCTGCTGTCTAGTGTAGGAAGGGAGATATGTATGTGGGGAAAAATAGTCTTTAATATCACTACCATTGCCATAAAACTTGCCAAGTTTAACACAAATTTCTGATATAACAATTCTTTTGTTTTGTAGTTTTTTTTGTTTTTAATTTTTAAAATTAATTTTAGAAAGAGAGAGAGGGTGCACAGGCAGAGTGAGAGAGAATCTTAAGCAGGCTCTGCTTCAGTGCAGAGCCTGATGTGGGGCTCAATCCCACAACCCTGGGATCATGACCTGAGCCAAAATCAAGAGGAAGATGCTCAACTGAGTGACTGAACCACCCAGGCACCCCTATAACAATTCTTTTAAAACCACAAAAATATCTGGTATTATTTTACTGTTGGCAAGATGAGGATATTGAAGTCCAAAAAGTTTAGTCACTTGGTTTACCTACACATATAGTAAGAAATAAAACTGAAAATTAAGTCAGGCTCTCCTTGCCAAATCTCATGCTCTTCTTAGATAACACTCTGTTATTAATACAAATTTAGAGTGATCAAGTAAAAGAAGTACTTCTCCAACAGAATTAAAACTATTCATTAGAAGCTACAAAGTGTTCAGTGTAATTTATTTTTTGTATGTGAAATACTATGTGAATAGTATAGTCCTGTATGGATTATATTTACACTATATGGCAAAGATTATACACCCACCTAATACATAATTATAAGATTAAAAATCACCCTAGATTGAAAAGAGTGGGATAGGGGCACCTGGATGACTCAGTCGGTTGTGTCCAACTCTTGATTTTGGCTCAGGTCATGATCTCATGGTTCATGAGTTTGAGCCCCACACAGGGCTCTGTGCTGACAATGTGGAGCTTGCTTGGGATTTTCTCTCTCTTCTTCTCTCTGCCCTCTCCTGTCTGTGCTCTCTCTCTCTCTCTCAAAATAAATACATAAAAACTTTTAAAAAATCAGTTTAAAAAAGAAAAGAATGGGACAAATCAGTGTGAAAATGGATCTATCTGTACACCCATATAGCTATGTGACACTGTGTAGCATCGCTCAGGGATTATTGGACAGAGATTGTCCCTGCCCCATACCATAACCTTACCCCTCGTTCTTTCTGATGCCCACATGCTGTTTGTCCAGGAATCCAATACACTCCGGCAACACAGTGGATCATTCAGTCATGAGCGATGATTCAACCAACATTTGCTAGTGGTTTTAGGGAGTGGAAAAGGCAACAAGAGCTAGAGTACATCAATACAAAGAGACTCTTTAAGAGTCATGACATGTCAAGTTAATTTTGTTGCTACCTTTCCTTTCTGTCACAGTGAAAGATAGGAAATTATCAAGGAAGAGTTCATGTGCCAGTAAAGAGATAGTTCTTGGATCTGAACAGAAAAAGACAGAGCTTAAACACGATGTAGAATGTCCAAATTCACTGATTTGGAGGATAAATAATATATAAGTGTTTTTTCTCTACCCATTATTCTAAATCTTCACTGTACGTCATATGGATCCATGGAATTTGTATTGCATTGTAGAATCAAATTGTTTATGTGGACAGGGCCCCACACCAATAAAATATACTTTCAATGGTCTTTCATATCTTGATAGTGACCCTTAGGGAACCCACAGTATATATGGACAGTATACTTCTTCCATACAGTAAGGTCAGATACAATGATGTAATATGCTTAGTTCATGCCCTGCAGAAATGAGATAAGGCTGTTGAGAAGTCATATTAAGGTCTAGTTAGGGATAGAGAAAGCTCTGAAGCTCTGTCTTACATTCTTGACAAATACAAGTGTCTTCCCATCTGAAAGTTAGAGGGCCACCTGGGTGGCTCAGTTGGTTAAGTGTCTGACTTCGGTTCAGGTCATGATCTCATGGCTCGTGGGGTTGAGCCCCCACATTGGGCACTGTACTGATAGCTCAAAGCCTGAAGCCTGCTTCAGATTCTGTGTCTCCCTCTCTCTCTGCCCCTAACCTGCTCACACTCTGTCTCTCTTTCTCAAAAATAAATAAACATAAAAAAATTAAAATTAGAGCATTCTTATGAAAACTTTTGGAAGCCAAATGGTATAAAGCAAAAAAGCAATTACTATTAATTTCAGGTGAAAAAACTTTAATATTCCCACATCCAAAAATTAACCCCTCTTAGACTATTCTGATACCTTACGTTGCACAGATACACAGAGGCACAATTCGAAGCCACAATGTCTTGATGCTGAGAGGCTGAGTGTGCTTCCTGAGGAAGGAGCCTGGCCAGGCCGCTCTCGCTGCTCAGGGTATGAGCTGCCTCTACAATGACTCGCTGCAACACAAACACTGAACATTACTTCACTCTTCACCTTTTTCCATAAAAGTGAAAACCCTCTTCATATATCTTTTGGTTAGCAAATACAGATACTAATATAGATCTTTTCATAAATGCAAATACTTTTTAACCTTATAAAACATTCATTTCTCTTCACAAGCCTGTCTTAATCCCCAGAAATATTGTGTCATGATCTTCATAAAATTGCTTTCTGCATTAGAAAATCAGATGTCTTGTATTATTTCCTTATTTTATTTGCTCACTTCATCTAACCCTTAAAAATTTCTTTCAATGACTATATATTATTGGGCTTTCAGCAATATTGTTCCCAACAGTCAGGAATCTTTTCCTTCAAACAATTTCTAAAGCATTTTCTTCTTTGTCATGTCTCTTACATGGAAGTGTTTCTCTTTGTTCTAACATCAGCTCCTTCACTTCCTTCACCATACTATGTCTTTGAGGGATCTGCTCGCTCTCTAATGCAATTTCAACCCTTTGCAAGCTACGATTTTTGTGTTAATGGTAGATAAGTTTCATTCCCAGCCTTTATATCTCTGATGGAATTAAGCCTTCAACGTCTTTGAGTAAATGTGCCTTGTCACCTCAACTCAGTGTGCTACTCTGTCTGCTCTGAATCTGCTCCTCCTTTACGGACTCCCCTACTGTATGCACATATACATATACAGATACACATCCACATCCACAACACACATATTCACTCAAGATAATTCTTATTGATTTTTTCTGTGTGTGATACATTATTCTCATTCTGTATGTATTTCCCATCTGATGACTCATATCTATACCTCCAACCAAAATCTTTCCTAAGCTAAATACAAATATAGTTACCAAATGTACTTCCCCATCTATCTTCATATATATATATATATATATATATATATATATATATATATTTCAGACTGAGCCTTAATTCCATGTCTCTATTTTATTTTTTGATATGTGGAATAGAGCTATAACAACTGTTTTAATGCCCTTGTCTATTTCCAAAATCTGTCAATTCTGGATCAGTTTCTTTAGATTAATTTTTTTCTTTTTCTTAGTGAGTCATATTTTCTTGCTTCTTTGTATGTATGTTTTTTTTTATTTTTTTACTTTTTTAGAGAGAGGGTGTGTGTACATGCAAGTGGGGAAGGGGCAGAGAGGGGGGAGGGAAGAGAGAATCTTAAGTGGGCTCCACATTCAGCGCAGAGTCCAATGCAGGGCTGGATCTGACAACCCTGAGATCATGACCCGAGCCAAAATCAAGAGTCATACACTTAACCAACTTAACCAACTTAACCAACTTAACCACTTAACCAACTTAACCAACTTAACCACCCAGGCACCCCTGCAAGCATGTTTTAATTAGATTTCAGATACTATGAATTTTACCTTGTGGGGGGTAAGTAGAATTTATATTTACTAAAAATTATATATAAATTTTATATTAAAGTTTATATTCCTAAAATTTATTTATATACCTATAAATATTCTTAAGCTTTGCTTTGATATGATTTTTAAATTATCTGGAATTTAAGTTTGATCCTTAAGTTCTTATGCTTAAGATTTATCAGGCATGACAAGTGAGCTTTTAACCTAGAATGAATTGTTCATTACCCCCACTGATTGGACATTATTTTTCTAAGTATTCTGCCCAATGACCTGTGGACTATGAGTTCTTCCAGTGTGGCTGGGAACAGGCACTTACTCAGGCCATGTGTGGGTTATTAAACCTATTTCATTTTCCTCTTACAGAGTTGTTCCTTTGGCCTCAGGTAAAGGCCACTTCTTTACACATATGCACCAATCAGGACTCTGATAAGTATTTGAGGGAACCCTCTGCAGATCTTCAAGGCTCTACCTTTGGTAGTTGTCTCCCCTTGTTACTCTGTCTCATGAACTCTATAAACAATTTTGTCTTCTTGGATTCTCAGCAATGGTTCCTCAACTCAGGAAGTTCATAGGCTCTGTCTAGGTTTCTGCCTGGAAACTCTCTCAAAGCAGTGAGCTAGGGCCATTGTAGGATTTATTTATTTATTTTTAAATGTTTATTTATTTATTTTGAGAGGGGAAGGCAGAAAGAGAGGAGAGAAAGAATCCCAACCAGAGTCTGAGCTGCACAGCAGGGAGCAAGACACGGGGCTTGATTTCATAAACATGAGGCCATGACCAGAGCCAAAATCAAGAGTCAGATGTTTAACAGACTGGGCCACCCAGGCATCCCTGTGGGATTCATTTTGTATGTTTCCCTGACTCTCATAGATTATAGTCCTTTGTTGCCAGAGATTCATTGTCTTAAAAACTGTTACTTCATACATTTTTTCTAATTATTTTGGTTGAGAGTAGAAGATGAATTCAATTGCTCTTACTCCATTTTTGCCAAAAGTAGTCCTCATCATCATTTATTTTTCATTGATCAAGAATATATTGAATGCCTCTATATGATAGGTATCATTCTAGGCATTGTGAATGAAGTAGGAAATAAAAATTAGAACTTTAAAAGGAGAGGAAAATGTTACAATCACAGGAAAGATATAATAAAACTTTAAAAAGAGAGAAAGTGTCTAACAACTAACAGCTTTGCAGTAAGAAAAGGAAGGAAAACCCAGAAGTTTAAATAAAATCCTGCTAACTCATACTAATATAAGTGGTCCTATACCTCTCAGAAAAAACTATCGCAGTACAATGTTGAGAAATAATATAATAATGGATATTTATAACAATGATAGTGAAAGAAAGTGTCCAAACCTCAGCTTCTCAAAAACATTAGATTACAGTTCAAAATTATTCACCTCAGAAAATGATCCAAGCTAAGTATGGATACCTAAAGGTCACTTATCAGGAAAAATCACTTCTTGAAAAAAAGGTGTATCACATGTTTGTGGTGAACAGTAGAGATACAACTGGTTTCATGCTGGAATGTGTGATTAATTACAGGGACTCTGGAGTATTGAGAAAAGCAGGCTTGGCATGTCCTTGCTTCCAAAGACTTTGTTTTCTGTGACATCTCATATGTAGCACGATAAAACCACTATCTCAGGAGAATATTTTGATAATCTCCCTCTGGCACCTTGTGTCTAAGATTTTCTACTTGTGGCAATAAATAACTCTGGATGCTGGGCAAATATCTCTATCAGTGGTTTCTAGCGTCTTCTAAGAGCCCATCCATTCTCCATCTATGCCAAGGAAGGTGAGTCCAAGAGAACTGTGCTGCTGAGCTCACCTGCCAACCCATGCTGAGGATGCAGGTTGCATAGTAAGGAGGTTGCCTGGCACATAAAAAGAACTGTTGAAAGTATATTCTTTAAAAGAACAGAGATGAGGGGCACCTGACTTGCTCAGTCAGAGGAGCATGTGACTCTTGATCTCAGGGTCATGCGTTCAAGCCCCAGCTGGGATATAGAGATTACCTAAAAAAAATAAATCTTAAAAAAACAAAAGAAAAAAGATGGCGAACCCTCTTTAGGAGCTGCTTCATTGAAGTTTTCCATAGATTCAAAATGAAAGTCATGGAAGATCAGTGCCTTTAAAAAAGAAACCAAAAGGGAGTTGGGAAATGATGAGAATAAAGACACCGAATTGAGGAGCCAAGAAGTGTGTTCTGTAGTTCAAGGTTAACAGATGGGGATTCATAGTACATAAGTGAGAGAGCAGGGTTTTGTTGTGGGCTCTGGAGGAAGACTCCAGGAGTGATACATACATCTTAAAAGGAATTTTTTAGGAGCTTGGAAGGAGGGCTTATGGAGATGGTATTTAAATGTCTTTGGCTCTCCAGGAACAGCCAGCAAGATATCTCTCTGGCTAGGATGAGCAATCTACCAGAATTCAATGGAACTCTAGCACAAGGATAACTGGAAATCGAGCAGGTTGATAAATACCAGAATGAATATTCTTCATCTGATTGTCACCTCCTTCTCTGCTTCTAATTTAGTGGCATCTACTCTTCAGTTCTAAACGAGCCTCAGTGGGGAGGATGACCCCAAACTCTTTTTCTACATCGGTTTTTAAAAGGGAGCTCAGGACACCTGGGTGGCTCAGTCAGATGAGCATCAGACTCTTGATTGCAGTTCAGGTCAAGGTCTCATGGTTGTGGAATGGAGTCCCGCATTGGGCTCCATGCTAGGCATGGACTCTGCTTGGGATTTTCTCTCTCCCTCTCTCTCTGCCCCTCCTCCACATGTGCTGTCTTTCTCTCAAAATAAATAAATAAACACTTAAAAAATAATAACAAGTAAAAAGGAGCCTGGATTTCTTGTGAGTTTTAAATCTTCGCTAGGGGTTAGCAAATTTATACTACAGTAGGAACCTCTAAACAAGTAATTTATTTGTTTAAACAAAATTTACTATGAGCTTTCTGTGTCCAAACAGTATTGGACTGCAATATGTGAAGGGTACAATCCCAATCTTAAAGGTATTTAAAATCAAACTGCATAAGGAAAACTCCTTTAGGTTTCAGCTGGAAGACAATATGAAATTATATGTCATAAATGCCATCTATTGGGGGGAAAAGTACATTCTGTATGGATTTGATGGCTTGAGGAATTCTTATAATATGAAATAGCATGAGAGGATTTTATAGAATGCTGGATATAGACTGGCTTTTATTTTTTTTATTTTATTTTTTTTAATTTTTTAAAAATGTTTATTTATGTTTAAGAGAGAGACAGAGTGTGATTGGGGGAGGGGTTGAGAGAGAGGGAGACACAGAATCTGAAGCAGGCTCCAGGGTCTGAGCTGTCAGCACAGAGCCCAACACGGGGCTGGAACCCACAAATCATGAGATCATGACTTGAGCCGAAGTCGGACACTTAACTGACTGAGCCACCCAAGTGCCCCATGGCTTTCAATCAATTAATTTAATCACCATCAGTGGAGATAGAGCATGATCACATTTGGGATCCCATCAGAAAGTGTACAAATATTCTGATGTTGTAATGAAAAAGTCATATGTGGTGGAATTAAGCAACCAATCGGACTAGAGTGGAGAGTGACAAGAA